CATGCGATCCCCAACACATCTTGAATTTTTATCGAAGGCACGCTCCACGGCAAATAGGGAACCAAGTTATAAAAATCAAAATGAAGTCTATTGCCAGAATTTATTTTCCAATTTCTTTACGCTAGAGAATTTAATGAATACTAATAGGCGATATAATCTGTGAGTGTAACAAAAGTGATGCATCTCGATGGTTCTACTAAAGTAACACTGTTTTACCATCGAAGTAAATTTGCAAAATGATCTACATGTTAATACCATTAGGCACAAGTGGTATCTCAAATTGTCTTTGCACACTCCTCGTCGATAACACTGAGAGGGAAGACTCAAAGTCATATCCACGTGACTTGTGGAATTACTATTTAGTAAATGGAAACTTAGTGGTGTATTGTCGCACGATGCCGCCTCGAAGGCGTGCTATCTCGGGCGCAAAACACTGAGCTTTGGGGACCTAACTACAAATAGGGAAGTTTCAATAAAATATGTCCTTAATTTTACCAAGGTCGTTCCAATAAACCATTAGATAGAGTTGTTCATAAATGTGTTGCGTCTTGGCCAATGCTCTTCACTTCACGACCCAAACCACAATTGAAATTTGACTTTGTGGCAAAAAAATTGGCATGCATTATACTATTCTATAAAAATGCCAAATTTATGTCAACTTCTGTTCGATTATGGTCTGTTGAGACCTCACACGTCCATACATGGAATATTTGAAGGAGGTTTTCTTACTTAGCAATGAATAGATGCCTTCCAGACTTCTTCTTTTCCGACAGTATCATCACACCGCTATCCTTTCCAAAATTGTATCACGCCTCGTGGAGCAATGAGAAAATCTTTGAACAAACCATATAGATTTGGTAACCAGATTAATTGTTCCCTAATGAAAGCTTCATGGATTTTGTAGCGCTCTTCAAAGTAGGGATGGCAGTGAAATCTAGTTTAGGAATATGGAGACGGTGGGCACGTAAATGCTTTGTGGCATGGTAAACTATGCGAGTCCCTCTCAAAAGGCTGGCATTATTAATAGGTTTGTGTCTCAAAAGAGAAACAAAATCTCAACCTAATCGCTGATTGTTTTCGACCCTATGAGCCGCAAAGCCAAAATCAAAGCAACTACTTGAAATGTTTCATTAGAGGTGGTTAAGCAGAACTCAATGAACGTGTACCTTAACTACAGTTGTCATGATTTTCACCTTCGTCGCTTCGGTTCGCCATAGGTATGCTCGGACACTTGGACCAAAGATGCAGCCCGACTGAGCTTGGCGACATTTGTTTATGGACCGACACAACGGATCGCAAACTAAGCTTTGTGCGCCCAAAAGGCCTTACTCGAATAAAAATACAGATTTATTGCTTAAAGTGATTCACTCCGACTCACACAAAATCTCTCCACTAACCATTAATGGACATTCACGGATTGATGACACGAATCTCCCTTGTAATTCTACCAGTGTAAACAAGATTGCATAACTGACTTATAAAATTTTCATTAAAAGGTTTGTTCTAATATCGCAAGTGCCACAATAAAATTTGCTCCTCCTTTTTTGAAGCGAATAGTGGCTTTGAAGCTAAGCCCAAGTTAGCCTCAAACCATATCATTTCAGTCCATTGATCTGCTTCACACTGCTCACCTCCTTTCATCTTGGAGAAATGTGACCTCTGAAAAAGTAACTTCCACTTTTGGTGTTGAACATAATGGCAATTACTTCTGTTTGAGCAGTATCTTAAAC